ACCTTTCAGATACAGAAAAATAAACCTTACCGAAACCCCGATTTCCTAAACAAAGATTCCATGGCTTGTTCAATGATACAGTGTGTGAACGTGCCCACTGCGATGCCATCGCCTCTTAAGCCATGCCATTGCGGCCGTGTGCACACTGATCCAATCGTCCAAGATCACCTCTGACCCTCATGCTCACTCTCATAATGCTTGTCCATTAAATTGTACAACCAAAAACACCACCATAGAAACCCACTATTGCCACCTGATAACTGTATGCTGCCCACGCCAGTAGACCGCCTTTCCTGAGCGAATTTCTTATCAAGTTTTCGTTGTCTCTCAGAAGTTCTTCCTGTTGTCCACTCACCATGGATACCCACATACCTACATTGCCCAACATCAGACAGTGCCACGAGGCTGTTGAAGGAAATGAGTGATGGGAAAACAGGAGTTTGGCTTGGGACATCTTAGCCAGATGCAAGTAGGACTGGCTGAAAGGTGCGCAAACACTTGGCTGCATCCAAAAGTGTATCTGAAAATACCCCCCCACCCCCTGACAAAACTCATTTTCCTTGGCTTTCCATTTCCAAAGCACGGGGAGAAATGACATCAGACAAGACAGTTCATGGGCTTCTGCCCAGCATTTCTTACACGACGACTCATTCTGTAGTCACCTGTGTCTTTGTGAATGGTGGGTGAGAAGAGTCAGGCAATCCATTTCCTCCAGCGCCACCCACCCCACAGCTTTCTGTTGTCTTGTTTGTTGTCTGAAGTTACCCACAAAGGCCAAAAGATGCAGGAATAATGAGGCCAAACATGATCAAAGCAGCCTTACAATCAGTAGGTTGTAAATAGACTCGGAGTGCACAGCAGCTACTCATGAAAGTCCATTTCACCTAGTCCTTTTGTGGACTATGGGAATTAGGATCATCTCCAGTAGCAGCCAGCAAAACCGCTTTCTATCAACCAATATAGAGTGAGACCACACCCGTGTTAGTGCAAGAGGGCAAAAGGAAGCAAGTGGGTTTCTGAAGTATTACCATATGTATGCGACTGTCCATCAATCGGATGATTTGCCTGAAGGTTGTCTATGGCCACCTGGCTCCCTTCCCAATTCTGAGAAGCCATGCTTCACTCACATGGCATTAGAGTCAGTTTTGGCTTTTGCTTGCCCTCTTATGACTAGACGAGCCACAGTTAAGCGAGCATCTCCTTCACCCACAAAACTAGTGTTTCCACTTTGTAGCTTTCAAGGAAAAGAAAAGAAAAACAAAAAGCCCTGACAAAGCAAATCACATACCTCCAACAGCTGGTGTTAGTGGGCATATGGCAGGAAGATCCGTAGGCACAAATTGGGGAGCAGGGATGGCTGGCAGAGTCCCTGTTGGGGGCCTAAAGTGAGGAGGCCCTATCCTCCGGAATGGATTTGGTGGCGCACTTGGCACTGTGGCTGGATGAGCTGTAGTGACTGCCACTTGTCCATGGCATGATTCTTTCCCCTCACAGGGAACTGCTGGCGCAGTTAGGCTGCAGGTCTGTAAACACAGTAACATAAATCTGTTATCACCAACAATACAAAATGCAAAGTTTCTACACAAATATTTAGGGACATAATCCAAAGAAATCCCTACTATACAGACTAAGTGCTCCAGAGAAACATCAGATGGGTTTGAGCGATCGCATCTCTGTGGGCAAAGAACGGAAAGCAGGTTTCGTCAACACAGCAATATTCTGGCTTCAGAAAATGCACAGACACAAGCCAGGAGAACCACAATGTAGAGTACCTAGCACGCTGAGCCCGAGAAGGGAAAGAACAAGTGGATAGCTGACTCCAGAGGTGGCTGAGGACCAAACTGAAAAACTCAGGAAAGTAGACTCCCAAAACATTACATCAAATTATTCAAACATAAATGGAAGGGGGAAATCAAATCCCTTGCTACACTGGTGTACTCCCTGAGAGGTGTTGACTCAGGAAAGAAACAGATTTCTAGAGAAAATGAATTACTAGGGGCATGTCTTCTGCAAAATTAAAAAAAAGAAAAAAAAGGAGAGATGAGAAAGCTCCCACGCACACATGGGTACAATTACACTGTCTGGACATACCTCCGGGTTCTCTTGGTCACGGTTTTGGTTCAATTCTTTTTCAGGAAATTGGTTTGGACCTAGCCATTTTTAAAAAGAAAGAAAGGGAAGAAAGGAAAGCATGAACATCGTGGGTCTTACCATTTTGTTCTTGGGACATTTCTGCATCACAAGGGATATCTCCCACATCCAGGGCGGTGCATAAGCCAGCTTGACACCTGCATCCTTAGCCATGGCCACAAGAATACCCCGAGGCCGCTGGATCTCCTGCTATGCCAACTTCTCTACAGCCAAATGAAGCTGAGGTTTCTCCACCTGGCACTTAGCAACCCACCTGCTGCAGCAGCTTTGAGAAGTTGTCGAGAGTAGCACCTCTCTTCTTCCTCCCATTCTGTTCCTGCTTCCTCATTCTTCCCGCAATGAATACTGGCCAACCTGGGCCATACGTGTTCCTGGACTCTACCATCGGGGACTGCTCAGCGTCCGAGGACATCCATTCAGACCTCCCTCCTGGGAATACAACTCTTTGACCCTTCATTTGATTTCTCGGCTAGTCACTCACACTGCAGCTCGCCTGGTGCTCAGACCTAAGGGTTAGTTCCCCGACCTCCCAGCATCCTCACTTGCTCAATCCTCTCTCAGTTCACCAGACTCCACGATCCATCAGTTCCGACATTTGCCAACAGCCTTGTCCTACAAGTCATTTTCATTTTGTACTTGACTCACACCACGCCAAGCCTAGATCAATCTGAGGCTCACACATAACTTTACCTACACCTGAGCCACTTGGACAGCAAGAAGAGGTGGAAAACTAAGAGCCCTCAAACTCCCCACCCTGGGAAAACTCACTCACTCACTCACTCACTCACTCACTCACTCACTCACTCACAACAGCCCACATCTACAACACCTGGAACCTGAACATTTCAACCTGATCGTCTCCTTCAACATACTGCCAGCTTCACAGTACCTGGCCTTCCATCTGTGACATGGAAGCAAGTTCCTCCTCAAACCTGACAACATCCATCCTCCTGAAACGCACCTTACACTCGCTATGTGGCCACTGAATGGGGAAGACTGTGCAATGGCACCTTTTGAATGCACAAGGTATCAGATGCTTCATATCCATTAAGTACACACTTCACCATCTTCTCCACCATGGGGAGCACTGGCTGCTGCTCTGTTTTCTAATGCTGCTTCCTGCTTCCAAACCAGGAAAACCAGCAGAGGTGGGCCATGGCCATCGCACCCTGCAGACACACAGCAAGCTCGGAAGATACTCCTGGCTCCCACCACCAGAACGACCCAGACTTGGCCGTGGTTTTTCTGGAGTCGGGCAGAGGATGCAAGCTCTCTTCTCACTTCTTTTCACTGTGTGACTCTACTTCCTCTCTCCCAAACATCAACTACTCTCTAAAACACAAACAGAAGAATCCAGAGACACAACACGCAGCCCACACACCCCTGGTGCCTCCTCTCTGTAGCACTACCTTTCAGATACAGAAAAATAAACCTTACCGAAACCCCGATTTCCTAAACAAAGATTCCATGGCTTGTTCAATGATACAGTGTGTGAACGTGCCCACTGCGATGCCATCGCCTCTTAAGCCATGCCATTGCGGCCGTGTGCACACTGATCCAATCGTCCAAGATCACCTCTGACCCTCATGCTCACTCTCATAATGCTTGTCCATTAAATTGTACAACCAAAAACACCACCATAGAAACCCACTATTGCCACCTGATAACTGTATGCTGCCCACGCCAGTAGACCGCCTTTCCTGAGCGAATTTCTTATCAAGTTTTCGTTGTCTCTCAGAAGTTCTTCCTGTTGTCCACTCACCATGGATACCCACATACCTACATTGCCCAACATCAGACAGTGCCACGAGGCTGTTGAAGGAAATGAGTGATGGGAAAACAGGAGTTTGGCTTGGGACATCTTAGCCAGATGCAAGTAGGACTGGCTGAAAGGTGCGCAAACACTTGGCTGCATCCAAAAGTGTATCTGAAAATACCCCCCCACCCCCTGACAAAACTCATTTTCCTTGGCTTTCCATTTCCAAAGCACGGGGAGAAATGACATCAGACAAGACAGTTCATGGGCTTCTGCCCAGCATTTCTTACACGACGACTCATTCTGTAGTCACCTGTGTCTTTGTGAATGGTGGGTGAGAAGAGTCAGGCAATCCATTTCCTCCAGCGCCACCCACCCCACAGCTTTCTGTTGTCTTGTTTGTTGTCTGAAGTTACCCACAAAGGCCAAAAGATGCAGGAATAATGAGGCCAAACATGATCAAAGCAGCCTTACAATCAGTAGGTTGTAAATAGACTCGGAGTGCACAGCAGCTACTCATGAAAGTCCATTTCACCTAGTCCTTTTGTGGACTATGGGAATTAGGATCATCTCCAGTAGCAGCCAGCAAAACCGCTTTCTATCAACCAATATAGAGTGAGACCACACCCGTGTTAGTGCAAGAGGGCAAAAGGAAGCAAGTGGGTTTCTGAAGTATTACCATATGTATGCGACTGTCCATCAATCGGATGATTTGCCTGAAGGTTGTCTATGGCCACCTGGCTCCCTTCCCAATTCTGAGAAGCCATGCTTCACTCACATGGCATTAGAGTCAGTTTTGGCTTTTGCTTGCCCTCTTATGACTAGACGAGCCACAGTTAAGCGAGCATCTCCTTCACCCACAAAACTAGTGTTTCCACTTTGTAGCTTTCAAGGAAAAGAAAAGAAAAACAAAAAGCCCTGACAGAGCAAATCACATACCTCCAACAGCTGGTGTTAGTGGGCATATGGCAGGAAGATCCGTAGGCACAAATTGGGGAGCAGGGATGGCTGGCAGAGTCCCTGTTGGGGGCCTAAAGTGAGGAGGCCCTATCCTCCGGAATGGATTTGGTGGCGCACTTGGCACTGTGGCTGGATGAGCAGTAGTGACTGCCACTTGTCCATGGCATGATTCTTTCCCCTCACAGGGAACTGCTGGCGCAGTTAGGCTGCAGGTCTGTAAACACAGTAACATAAATCTGTTATCACCAACAATACAAAATGCAAAGTTTCTACACAAATATTTAGGGACATAATCCAAAGAAATCCCTACTATACAGACTAAGTGCTCCAGAGAAACATCAGATGGGTTTGAGCGATCGCATCTCTGTGGGCAAAGAACGGAAAGCAGGTTTCGTCAACACAGCAATATTCTGGCTTCAGAAAATGCACAGACACAAGCCAGGAGAACCACAATGTAGAGTACCGAGCACGCTGAGCCCGAGAAGGGAAAGAACAAGTGGATAGCTGACTCCAGAGGTGGCTGAGGACCAAACTGAAAAACTCAGGAAAGTAGACTCCCAAAACATTACATCAAATTATTCAAACATAAATGGAAGGGGGAAATCAAATCCCTTGCTACACTGGTGTACTCCCTGAGAGGTGTTGACTCAGGAAAGAAACAGATTTCTAGAGAAAATGAATTACTAGGGGCATGTCTTCTGCAAAATTAAAAAAAAGAAAAAAAAGGAGAGATGAGAAAGCTCCCACGCACACATGGGTACAATTACACTGTCTGGACATACCTCCAGGTTTTCTTGGTCATGGTTTTGGTTCAATTCTTTGTCAGGAAATTGGTTTGGACCTAGACATTTTTAAAAAGAAAGAAAGGGAAAAAAGGAAACCATGAACATCGCGGGTCTTACCATTATGTTCTTGGGACATTTCTGGATCACAAGGGACACTGTGAGATCTCCCACATCCAGGGCGGTGCATACGCCAGCTTGACACCTGCATCCTTAGCCATGGCCACAAGAATACCCCGAGGCCGCTGGATCTCCTGCTATGCCAACTTCTCTACAGCCAAATGAAGCTGAGGTTTCTCCACCTGGCACTTAGCAACCCACCTGCTGCAGCAGCTTTGAGAAGTTGTCGAGAGTAGCACCTCTCTTCTTCCTCCCATTCTGTTCCTGCTTCCTCATTCTTCCCGCAATGAATACTGGCCAACCTGGGCCATACGTGTTCCTGGACTCTACCATCGGGGACTGCTCAGCGTCCGAGGACATCCATTCAGACCTCCCTCCTGGGAATACAACTCTTTGACCCTTCATTTGATTTCTCGGCTAGTCACTCACACTGCAGCTCGCCTGGTGCTCAGACCTAAGGGTTAGTTCCCCGACCTCCCAGCATCCTCACTTGCTCAATCCTCTCTCAGTTCACCAGACTCCACGATCCATCAGTTCCGACATTTGCCAACAGCCTTGTCCTACAAGTCATTTTCATTTTGTACTTGACTCACACCACGCCAAGCCTAGATCAATCTGAGGCTCACACATAACTTTACCTACACCTGAGCCACTTGGACAGCAAGAAGAGGTGGAAAACTAAGAGCCCTCAAACTCCCCACCCTGGGAAAACTCACTCACTCACTCACTCACTCACTCACTCACTCACTCACAACAGCCCACATCTACAACACCTGGAACCTGAACATTTCAACCTGATCGTCTCCTTCAACATACTGCCAGCTTCACAGTACCTGGCCTTCCATCTGTGACATGGAAGCAAGTTCCTCCTCAAACCTGACAACATCCATCCTCCTGAAACGCACCTTACACTCGCTATGTGGCCACTGAATGGGGAAGACTGTGCAATGGCACCTTTTGAATGCACAAGGTATCAGATGCTTCATATCCATTAAGTACACACTTCACCATCTTCTCCACCATGGGGAGCACTGGCTGCTGCTCTGTTTTCTAATGCTGCTTCCTGCTTCCAAACCAGGAAAACCAGCAGAGGTGGGCCATGGCCATCGCACCCTGCAGACACACAGCAAGCTTGGAAGATACTCCTGGCTCCCACCACCAGAACGACCCAGACTTGGCCGTGGTTTTTCTGGAGTCGGGCAGAGGATGCAAGCTCTCTTCTCACTTCTTTTCACTGTGTGACTCTACTTCCTCTCTCCCAAACATCAACTACTCTCTAAAACACAAACAGAAGAATCCAGAGACACAACACGCAGCCCACACACCCCTGGTGCCTCCTCTCTGTAGCACTACCTTTCAGATACAGAAAAATAAACCTTACCGAAACCCCGATTTCCTAAACAAAGATTCCATGGCTTGTTCAATGATACAGTGTGTGAACGTGCCCACTGCGATGCCATCGCCTCTTAAGCCATGCCATTGCGGCCGTGTGCACACTGATCCAATCATCCAAGATCACCTCTGACCCTCATGCTCACTCTCATAATGCTTGTCCATTAAATTGTACAACCAAAAACACCACCATAGAAACCCACTATTGCCACCTGATAACTGTATGCTGCCCACGCCAGTAGACCGCCTTTCCTGAGCGAATTTCTTATCAAGTTTTCGTTGTCTCTCAGAAGTTCTTCCTGTTGTCCACTCACCATGGATACCCACATACCTACATTGCCCAACATCAGACAGTGCCACGAGGCTGTTGAAGGAAATGAGTGATGGGAAAACAGGAGTTTGGCTTGGGACATCTTAGCCAGATGCAAGTAGGACTGGCTGAAAGGTGCGCAAACACTTGGCTGCATCCAAAAGTGTATCTGAAAATACCCCCCCACCCCCTGACAAAACTCATTTTCCTTGGCTTTCCATTTCCAAAGCACGGGGAGAAATGACATCAGACAAGACAGTTCATGGGCTTCTGCCCAGCATTTCTTACACGACGACTCATTCTGTAGTCACCTGTGTCTTTGTGAATGGTGGGTGAGAAGAGTCAGGCAATCCATTTCCTCCAGCGCCACCCACCCCACAGCTTTCTGTTGTCTTGTTTGTTGTCTGAAGTTACCCACAAAGGCCAAAAGATGCAGGAATAATGAGGCCAAACATGATCAAAGCAGCCTTACAATCAGTAGGTTGTAAATAGACTCGGAGTGCACAGCAGCTACTCATGAAAGACCATTTCACCTAGTCCTTTTGTGGACTATGGGAATTAGGATCATCTCCAGTAGCAGCCAGCATAACCGCTTTCTATCAACCAATATGGAGTGAGACCACACCCGTGTTAGTGCAAGAGGGCAAAAGGAAGCAAATGGGTTTCTGAAGTATTACCATATGTATGCGACTGTCCATCAATCGGATGATTTGCCTGAAGGTTGTCTATGGCCACCTGGCTCCCTTCCCAATTCTGAGAAGCCATGCTTCACTCACATGGCATTAGAGTCAGTTTTGGCTTTTGCTTGCCCTCTTATGACTAGACGAGCCACAGTTAAGCGAGCATCTCCTTCACCCACAAAACTAGTGTTTCCACTTTGTAGCTTTCAAGGAAAAGAAAAGAAAAACAAAAAGCCCTGACAAAGCAAATCACATACCTCCAACAGCTGGTGTTAGTGGGCATATGGCAGGAAGATCCGTAGGCACAAATTGGGGAGCAGGGATGGCTGGCAGTGTCCCTGTTGGGGGCCTAAAGTGAGGAGGCCCTATCCTCCGGAATGGATTTGGTGGCGCACTTGGCACTGTGGCTGGATGAGCAGTAGTGACTGCCACTTGTCCATGGCATGATTCTTTCCCCTCACAGGGAACTGCTGGCGCAGTTAGGCTGCAGGTCTGTAAACACAGTAACATAAATCTGTTATCACCAACAATACAAAATGCAAAGTTTCTACACAAATATTTAGGGACATAATCCAAAGAAATCCCTACTATACAGACTAAGTGCTCCAGAGAAACATCAGATGGGTTTGAGCGATCGCATCTCTGTGGGCAAAGAACGGAAAGCAGGTTTCGTCAACACAGCAATATTCTGGCTTCAGAAAATGCACAGACACAAGCCAGGAGAACCACAATGTAGAGTACCTAGCACGCTGAGCCCGAGAAGGGAAAGAACAAGTGGATAGCTGACTCCAGAGGTGGCTGAGGACCAAACTGAAAAACTCAGGAAAGTAGACTCCCAAAACATTACATCAAATTATTCAAACATAAATGGAAGGGGGAAATCAAATCCCTTGCTACACTGGTGTACTCCCTGAGAGGTGTTGACTCAGGAAAGAAACAGATTTCTAGAGAAAATGAATTACTAGGGGCATGTCTTCTGCAAAATTAAAAAAAAGAAAAAAAAGGAGAGATGAGAAAGCTCCCACGCACACATGGGTACAATTACACTGTCTGGACATACCTCCAGGTTTTCTTGGTCATGGTTTTGGTTCAATTCTTTGTCAGGAAATTGGTTTGGACCTAGACATTTTTAAAAAGAAAGAAAGGGAAAAAAGGAAACCATGAACATCGCGGGTCTTACCATTATGTTCTTGGGACATTTCTGGATCACAAGGGACACTGTGAGATCTCCCACATCCAGGGCGGTGCATACGCCAGCTTGACACCTGCATCCTTAGCCATGGCCACAAGAATACCCCGAGGCCGCTGGATCTCCTGCTATGCCAACTTCTCTACAGCCAAATGAAGCTGAGGTTTCTCCACCTGGCACTTAGCAACCCACCTGCTGCAGCAGCTTTGAGAAGTTGTCGAGAGTAGCACCTCTCTTCTTCCTCCCATTCTGTTCCTGCTTCCTCATTCTTCCCGCAATGAATACTGGCCAACCTGGGCCATACGTGTTCCTGGACTCTACCATCGGGGACTGCTCAGCGTCCGAGGACATCCATTCAGACCTCCCTCCTGGGAATACAACTCTTTGACCCTTCATTTGATTTCTCGGCTAGTCACTCACACTGCAGCTCGCCTGGTGCTCAGACCTAAGGGTTAGTTCCCCGACCTCCCAGCATCCTCACTTGCTCAATCCTCTCTCAGTTCACCAGACTCCACGATCCATCAGTTCCGACATTTGCCAACAGCCTTGTCCTACAAGTCATTTTCATTTTGTACTTGACTCACACCACGCCAAGCCTAGATCAATCTGAGGCTCACACATAACTTTACCTACACCTGAGCCACTTGGACAGCAAGAAGAGGTGGAAAACTAAGAGCCCTCAAACTCCCCACCCTGGGAAAACTCACTCACTCACTCACTCACTCACTCACTCACTCACTCACAACAGCCCACATCTACAACACCTGGAACCTGAACATTTCAACCTGATCGTCTCCTTCAACATACTGCCAGCTTCACAGTACCTGGCCTTCCATCTGTGACATGGAAGCAAGTTCCTCCTCAAACCTGACAACATCCATCCTCCTGAAATGCACCTTACACTCACTATGTGGCCACTGAATGGGGAAGACTGTGCAATGGCACCTTTTGAATGCACAAGGTATCAGATGCTTCATATCCATTAAGTACACACTTCACCATCTTCTCCACCATGGGGAGCACTGGCTGCTGCTCTGTTTTCTAATGCTGCTTCCTGCTTCCAAACCAGGAAAACCAGCAGAGGTGGGCCATGGCCATCGCACCCTGCAGACACACAGCAAGCTCGGAAGATACTCCTGGCTCCCACCACCAGAACGACCCAGACTTGGCCGTGGTTTTTCTGGAGTCGGGCAGAGGATGCAAGCTCTCTTCTCACTTCTTTTCACTGTGTGACTCTACTTCCTCTCTCCCAAACATCAACTACTCTCTAAAACACAAACAGAAGAATCCAGAGACACAACACGCAGCCCACACACCCCTGGTGCCTCCTCTCTGTAGCACTACCTTTCAGATACAGAAAAATAAACCTTACCGAAACCCCGATTTCCTAAACAAAGATTCCATGGCTTGTTCAATGATACAGTGTGTGAACGTGCCCACTGCGATGCCATCGCCTCTTAAGCCATGCCATTGCGGCCGTGTGCACACTGATCCAATCGTCCAAGATCACCTCTGACCCTCATGCTCACTCTCATAATGCTTGTCCATTAAATTGTACAACCAAAAACACCACCATAGAAACCCACTATTGCCACCTGATAACTGTATGCTGCCCACGCCAGTAGACCGCCTTTCCTGAGCGAATTTCTTATCAAGTTTTCGTTGTCTCTCAGAAGTTCTTCCTGTTGTCCACTCACCATGGATACCCACATACCTACATTGCCCAACATCAGACAGTGCCACGAGGCTGTTGAAGGAAATGAGTGATGGGAAAACAGGAGTTTGGCTTGGGACATCTTAGCCAGATGCAAGTAGGACTGGCTGAAAGGTGCGCAAACACTTGGCTGCATCCAAAAGTGTATCTGAAAATACCCCCCCACCCCCTGACAAAACTCATTTTCCTTGGCTTTCCATTTCCAAAGCACGGGGAGAAATGACATCAGACAAGACAGTTCATGGGCTTCTGCCCAGCATTTCTTACACGACGACTCATTCTGTAGTCACCTGTGTCTTTGTGAATGGTGGGTGAGAAGAGTCAGGCAATCCATTTCCTCCAGCGCCACCCACCCCACAGCTTTCTGTTGTCTTGTTTGTTGTCTGAAGTTACCCACAAAGGCCAAAAGATGCAGGAATAATGAGGCCAAACATGATCAAAGCAGCCTTACAATCAGTAGGTTGTAAATAGACTCGGAGTGCACAGCAGCTACTCATGAAAGACCATTTCACCTAGTCCTTTTGTGGACTATGGGAATTAGGATCATCTCCAGTAGCAGCCAGCATAACCGCTTTCTATCAACCAATATGGAGTGAGACCACACCCGTGTTAGTGCAAGAGGGCAAAAGGAAGCAAATGGGTTTCTGAAGTATTACCATATGTATGCGACTGTCCATCAATCGGATGATTTGCCTGAAGGTTGTCTATGGCCACCTGGCTCCCTTCCCAATTCTGAGAAGCCATGCTTCACTCACATGGCATTAGAGTCAGTTTTGGCTTTTGCTTGCCCTCTTATGACTAGACGAGCCACAGTTAAGCGAGCATCTCCTTCACCTACAAAACTTGTGTTTCCACTTTGTAGCTTTCAAGGAAAAGAAAAGAAAAACAAAAAGCCCTGACAAAGCAAATCACATACCTCCAACAGCTGGTGTTAGTGGGCATATGGCAGGAAGATCCGTAGGCACAAATTGGGGAGCAGGGATGGCTGGCAGAGTCCCTGTTGGGGGCCTAAAGTGAGGAGGCCCTATCCTCCGGAATGGATTTGGTGGCGCACTTGGCACTGTGGCTGGATGAGCTGTAGTGACAGCCACTTGTCCATGGCATGATTCTTTCCCCTCACAGGGAACTGCTGGCGCAGTTAGGCTGCAGGTCTGTAAACACAGTAACATAAATCTGTTATCACCAACAATACAAAATGCAAAGTTTCTACACAAATATTTAGGGACATAATCCAAAGAAATCCCTACTATACAGACTAAGTGCTCCAGAGAAACATCAGATGGGTTTGAGCGATCGCATCTCTGTGGGCAAAGAACGGAAAGCAGGTTTCGTCAACACAGCAATATTCTGGCTTCAGAAAATGCACAGACACAAGCCAGGAGAACCACAATGTAGAGTACCTAGCACGCTGAGCCCGAGAAGGGAAAGAACAAGTGGATAGCTGACTCCAGAGGTGGCTGAGGACCAAACTGAAAAACTCAGGAAAGTAGACTCCCAAAACATTACATCAAATTATTCAAACATAAATGGAAGGGGGAAATCAAATCCCTTGCTACACTGGTGTACTCCCTGAGAGGTGTTGACTCAGGAAAGAAACAGATTTCTAGAGAAAATGAATTACTAGGGGCATGTCTTCTGCAAAATGAAAAAAAAGAAAAAAAAGGAGAGATCAGAAAGCTCCCACGCACGCACGGGTACAATTACACTGTCTGGACATACCTCCGGGTTCTCTTGGTCACGGTTTTGGTTCAATTCTTTTTCAGGAAATTGGTTTGGACCTAGCCATTTTTAAAAAGAAAGAAAGGGAAAAAAGGAAACCATGAACATCGCGGGTCTTACCATTATGTTCTTGGGACATTTCTGGATCACAAGGGACACTGTGAGATCTCCCACATCCAGGGCGGTGCATACGCCAGCTTGACACCTGCATCCTTAGCCATGGCCACAAGAATACCCCGAGGCCGCTGGATCTCCTGCTATGCCAACTTCTCTACAGCCAAATGAAGCTGAGGGTTCTCCAGCTGGCACTTAGCAACCCACCTGCTGCAGCAGCTTTGAGAAGTTGTCCAGAGAGTAGCACCTCTCTTCTTCCTCCCTTTCTGTTCCTGCTTCCTCATTCTTCCCGCAATGAATACTGCCCAACCTGGGCCATACGTGTTCCTGGACTCTACCATCGGGGACTGCTCAGCGTCCGAGGACATCCATTCAGACCTCCCTCCTGGGAATACAACTCTTTGACCCTTCCCTTGCTTTCTCGACTAGTCACTCACACTGCAGCTTGCTTGGTGCTCAGACCTAAGGGTTAGTTCCCCGACCTCTCAGCATCCTCACTTGCTCAATCCTCTCTCAGTTCACCAGACTCCACGATCCATCAGTTCCGACATTTGCCAACAGCCTTGTCCTACAAGTCATTTTCATTTTGTACTTGACTCACACCACGCCAAGCCTAGATCAATCTGAGGCTCACACATAACTTTACCTACACCTGAGCCACTTGGACAGCAAGAAGAGGTGGAAAACTCAGAGCCCTCAAACTCCCCACCCTGGGAAAACTCACTCACTCACTCACTCACTCACTCACTCACTCACTCACAACAGCCCACATCTACAACACCTGGAACCTGAACATTTCAACCTGATCGTCTCCTTCAACATACTGCCAGCTTCACAGTACCTGGCCTTCCATCTGTGACATGGAAGCAAGTTCCTCCTCAAACCTGACAACATCCATCCTCCTGAAACGCACCTTACACTCGCTATGTGGCCACTGAATGGGGAAGACTGTGCAATGGCACCTTTTGAATGCACAAGGTATCAGATGCTTCATATCCATTAAGTACACACTTCACCATCTTCTCCACCATGGGGAGCACTGGCTGCTGCTCTGTTTTCTAATGCTGCTTCCTGCTTCCAAACCAGGAAAACCAGCAGAGGCGGGCCATGGCCATCGCACCCTGCAGACACACAGCAAGCTCGGAAGATACTCTTGGCTCCCACCATCAGAACGACCCAGACTTGGCCGTGGTTTCTCTGGAGTCGGGCAGAGGATGCAAGCTCTCTTCTCACTTCTTTTCACTCTGTGACTCTACTTCCTCTCTCCCAATCATCAACTACTCTAGAAAGGAAACAAACAATCTGAAGAATCCAGAGACACAACATCCAGTCCACTCACCCCTGATGTCTCCTGTCTGTAGCACTACCTTTCAGGGACAGAAAAATAAACCTTACTGAAATCCCGATTTCATATACAATTATACCATGTTTTGTCCAACAATACAGATTTTGAAGACGCCCTTGTAATGCCACCATCCCTTGTTTTTATGATTTCTGCTTCACCTGGTTTACCTCACACTCTGCTCTCTGCTCAAGTTCCTTGGAAATTAGTGGAAATTGCATCAAATGCACCTGCCCTGGCCCTTCCTGTGCAAAACACCAACAGTTCTTTGCCCCTGGCTTCACCCTGCCGTACAACGTGGCATCGCAGCCACGAGTGGACTGACCGAAGGGATCTAAGATCAATTCTGTCTCATGCTCACTGTAATACTGCCGTTCAGTTAAATCAATCACCAGCAACACATAATATAAAAGAAATATTTGCACCGGATATAACGAAGCACCTCAGTTGCAATAGATAGCCTTTCCTGAGGGAGTCATTCACCAACATATTCATTGTTTTTTGAAAGTTTTACCTGCTGTTGATACCTCATGAATTACTACAAACATAGATTGTCTAACTTCAGACTGTGGCCATAAGATTGTTGAAGAAATTGTGTAATGGGAAAACAGTATTTCAAGACATGTCACTTAAATACAGTTAGGACTTGCTGAAAAATTATATTTTGAGTTCTGAATATTAGTTTAAAACTGTTCACACTATTTTCAATTCATCACTTGAATAAATCCTTAAACCATCACACCGTATAGCATTTGGAGTGCTTTTTCCCTCTTTACTTTTATCTTTGAATTTGTCTGGCCAGTAGAGCCTGGCCCTTTCCTTTTCACATGCACCTCTTTGCTAAAGTAAGAGATGCTTCTTTCCCCTAACTTCATAGCGGCTATGGTTGTTGTTGCCAATTTTAGGGACAGACATTTTTTTTTTCTCTGTTATCTTACCTAGCCTTGCATAAAATTTATAAATCTTTTCTTAAAAGGTAAAATAAGAATTAATTACATTTGAATATGTTAAACCTTATCTCACATCTTTGTTTATTTCTGTCACATAAAAACTGAATTTTCATGATACTAACCCTGCTGGTAGTTTGATTAAATATTAATATAAATAATACATGCATGTATATGTTCATCTCTGAAAATGTATTTAACTGTGAATTACATAAATAGATTTGCATAATCCATATATCTCAATACTTCTATTGCATGTCTACTCTCACAGTGTAAGCTACTGATGAATTCTGTAGCTAACAACAATAGTACTGATAGCCTAAGTTGAATTTTCTGGTAATAAACTGCATACCTGGTTGAGCAATCTCCATTCTCTGTTTCTTTTCCAGACATTTTTTTTTTTGCTACATCTTTTTAATTATACTGCACTATGTGACAATTTAACAGGCTCTGGGATTCCCCCCAATCCCTCGACATACCCTTCCCCCATGGTGGATTCCTCCACCTTCTTGCAGCATTTCAGTTCAAAATCAGTCAAGACTCTTTCATTGCAAGCATATACCAAGCATAGAGTCCAGCATCTTACTATCCATATAAATTCAACAGTTTCTTGAGGAGAGCATCTCTCTTCAGAACATAGAGCTGGTAGAATATCATCCCAATCAATTAGAAGCCACAACATAACATCAACAACAATTAACAACATTACTGAATTAATTGACAAGGTGTTGAGTACTCAATATGTTAGAAAATGCTGGTTCTTAACCACATCCTGTGACTACTTCATTGAAATTTCTATTTTAGTTTATATACAGCTGGCTTTTATATACCTTAAAATGGCTATAGGGTACTATTCAGCTGTCTTGTGTCTATTTTCATTTTAGTATTTAGTAGTTTATAGTGTTGAAGCATAATTTTGCTGAACTTGGCAGATTTTAGGATAGTCCAAACTGGCTTATAATTCTAACAAGGCATATGTCAACAGTTGAGGTACAGAAGAGTTTTAGGAGGGGTGTGCAGAGTAATCTTCAGTACCTTAGTGAGGAGTAACTAATCTTTATGTCCTACCTATTAAGGTATATGTGAGTGCAAGCTATTTCCTGTCTGGTTCTGAGCTTTCCTTGTTGTTCTCTGAATATCTATTCTAGTTATTTTGTATGTTTGTTTTTGGGGAGCTCCGGAGCAACCCTTATGGTCATTGCAAGAGAGGGTGGGGGCCCGGAGCGATGGTGCAATGATTAAGGTCCTCGCCTTGCATGCCCGGGATCCCATATGGGCACTGGTTGTAACCCCAGCGGCCCCCACTTCCCATCCAGCTCCCTGCCTGTGGCCCGGGAAAGCAGTCGAGGACGGCCCAAGGCTTCGGGGTCCTGCACCCATGTGGGAGACCCAGAAGAAGCTCCTGGCTTTGGATCGGCATAGCATAGGCCATTGCGCTCACTTGAGGAGGGAATCATCCCATGGAAGATCTTCTTCTCTGTCTCTCCTCTCTGCATATCTGCCTTTCCAATAAAAATAAAATAAATCTTTAAAAAAAAAAGAGAGAGAGTGTGGGGATTCAAAGATGGAACTAAGTAAGGACCAGAGAGAGCTCCTCTCCCAAGTCCCAAAGGAAGTTTACTGTTCTGTTCCTGTAGACGGCTCGGGGGTCCTGGCTGTTGTTCTGATGACCGTGGATCCTGTGAGGAAGGATTTGGTCTTGTTCCATCCCATGTGGTAGATCCAAGTGGGGGCGGATGACCTTCGAGTTGTTGGCCTCCAAACGCACACTAATTACCCATGGTCTCCTTGGCAGTTGGGATGTAGTCCTTGGTGCCCATACTAATAGTCCTTGGTGAGGATCTAGGAGTCTCCAGGGTTGGGATACAAGCTTCCACCTGTCTACTTGTTCCACTCTTGTGTTACCCCTGCTATGTGCATATGAGCTCTTGTTAACAGGTTGTCAGATTTG